GTAGCGATACGCAGACGCCGACCACAGCACTGGTCGGCAGCTAAGAGGGTTTTGCGTAATCTAGCAAGTACATCGGGCATGGGGCTAGTGCTAGGAGCATGCAGGCCAGTGGTCCTGACAGGGCAGACAGACGCTTTGTGGGCTGACGACGTTGAGACGCTCAGGTCCTCCCAGGGCTACTGCTTTAGCCTTGGTGCAGGCGCTATCTCGTGGAGGTCCACCCGCTCATCGTTTGTTGCACAGTCCAGTTGCGAGGCTGAGATCTACGCTGGTGCCATGACGGCACAGGAGGTCCGCTGGCTGACTTTCTTGCGCATAGACTTCGGTGAGCGGCCTAGCTCTGCCCCAGTCCTGTACGCCGACAACAGGGCCATGATCCTCCTGTGTCAGGAGCCTTGACTAGAGGGCAAAGCGAAGCACATCCAGCTGCGGTACTTCCTCCTACGCGAGCTGCAGCAGCGCCGCCAGGCCCGCGTAGTACACTTGGGCTCCGGTGCCAACACATCAGATATCTTAACTGAGGCGCTTGCACCTAAAGATCATCAGCAGCACTGTGTATAGCTTGGTCTAGTTTCTGTAGCTTCTCACTTGCATGTCCAGAGCAAACCTGGATTGTGTCCAGGCACACTTGAACAAAATCAACCTGTTTGCCTCATTCTAGTCACCTTTTCTACTCTGAGAGTTCTCTCTGTAGTAGGATCCATTAACACCTACCAAGCCTACAGTTATATATATAATATATATATTTTAATAATGATTGGTTGCAGTTGGTGTTGAATCGAATTCGCCCGCTTTCCGGGCCGGGTTTGCTCTGGACATGCCGTGCGTTACAGTTCGTCACTTCCAGCATGTGCAGCTCCACATCAGACATCGAATTCCCTTTTACTGAATGGGCCTATACCAATATCCAATCGGCAGATACATGCGTGACGTGACCTGGCTACAAGCCCGAACTGATCCTGGCGTTTTAGGTTGCCCGTTAGGATCGGCTCCGTCTTCCTCATCCTAATTTTGATCATGGACGGTAGGAAGGAATACGCCCTTAGTGCTATATGTCAAAGCTCTGTCACTAACCACTGAGCTAAAAGGGTTTTGTTAATAGCGGGTCAGTGCACCCATAGCCCCCAGGCTCTGCACCTGTGGCCCTTCCCTGAGGATCTTCTCAAGGGTAACCCCATCGGGTCACTCTGTTAGAATACTACAATGAATTGAAACAAGGGTGAACAAGGGAAATATAGGGTTGGAGTTGTACTCTTTAAGAACATATACCTATCTAGCCTATAACTTCTACATACTAACATTTGCATAAGTTGACACACCCCCTAGGCTAGATAAGGGGTAGTGCTGAGCAAGAAACACGTAGCTCAGGGTGGCACTACTAGTCCAACCTCTGAGGCAAGGGTCCGAAGACCAGTCAGCAAGAGTACAACAAGATAAGAGCAAACCAGGGTGGCACTACTAGTCCAAACACTGGAAGAGAAGCCACAAGGCCAATCTGGAAGGTATAAATATAGAGGAGTGCACAATAAAGGTAGCGCGCTACGTAGCGCGCCTTGAACACAAGCGGCTCTCCAGCAGGGCGCTTCACCTTGAATAGCCACCGGCCATCGAGTACGTTTACCCCAGGTGGAGGAACTGCGTCGACGAAGGTGCCGGTGGATCTCCAAGATGCCATCTCCTGCTCCATGGCAGCTATCCACTGGGAGGCCCAGGGTCCCGAGGTCGCCTCAACGTAAGTGCGAGGGGTTGGGATGTCAAAGACGTCTAGATCACCCTCAGGGACTAGCAGCATGGAGCACAGATGGCGAGCAGCCTCGGACAAGAAAGCAAGCTCGTACTGCCTGTCCTCTAGAACGTCACTGCCAAGGGCAGGAGCACCCCCAACGGACGGAGGACGGACAAGGTCAGACACCAGAGCGGTGGCGTAGTCAAGGCGGCGGGTAGAGGCGAAGTCAGTGATAGAAGCGACAAGCGCGTCAAGACTCAAGAGAGGAACAGACGAATTGGTAAAGAGGGAGGTAAGGACCAGAGAAACAAGAGGACGAGTCGCAAAGGTAGGAGGGGAGGACGAGACACGTGGGAACGAAGCCACATAGGGTGAGCACACTGAACAAGGGAGACAAGACGAGCACGAGAGGGACGGCGAGACCAGATGTGAGACGGAGGCGTCGGGTCAGGAGACAGAGGAGGAGTAACTGGAGGGGAACGAGGTGGGAAACGAGCCGGGGACGAGTCCGGCGCAGGAAATACAGGACCATGGATAGGAAGGGGAGGAGGCAGCGGGGGAGGCGCAGGCGAGCGATCAGGGGAGGGAAGGCCGAGCAGGTGAAGGGCGGACACCGGCGGCAAATGCTGCTGCTGCTGCTCGACGCCGACACTTGGACCGCCAGCTGCACCGCGGCTACCTCCGGAACACTCCACTCCAGCACCCTCAGAACGAGCACCCCCAGAGCGAGAACCCTCTCCAGCACCAGTGCCACCCCCGAGCCCGCCAGGACAAGCCACAACAGGAACTTCAGGACTAGCACCCTCCTCAACGCCAGCACCCCCAGAGTCCACGAACGGCTGCTGCGGCTGCGACGGCGGCGGCGGCTGCGGCGTCGTCGACTGCGACGGCGGAGGAGGAGACACCGGTAGAGAGACAGGTGGCAAGAACTGCGCCACAGGGCCACTTAAGTCAACCGACTCCTCGACCGGGACAACCGACGGGAGGGGAGTGATGTGAGAAACACTAGACGGAGCAAGATGGGGAGGAAGGTGAGCAGGAGCTACCGAGGGAGTGGGGACCAAAAACAAGGGAGGGGAAACCGGGAGACCTCGGTGGGGAAAGCGGTGGTAAAAGGAGACAGACTCGTCGAAAGTGGCGTCATGCGAGTGAAAAAAGTGGTGAGACGGCGGGTGGTAAAAGTGCCAGTCAGAGGAGTCCAGGGGGAAACCGAGGAAGACACAGGGGACAATGCGAACAGTGAGCTTGTCCGTGCCAGAGGCGTGAACTTGAGCGAGTGAGCCCCAGACGTGGAATGCAGACGCGTCACCAGGGAACCCGGTCCAAAAAAGGGTCGGCGAAACATGCGGCCGCTGGGAGCACGGCCACCGGTTAAGCTGGTGAGCGGCGTAGCGAACAGCGAACAGCCACAGAAAATGGGGTGCACCTGCATGAATCATCGAGGTACGAGCCACCTCCATGACCAAGCCGATGCATCGCTCAGCGACACCATTCTGCTGCGGGGAGTCTGGTAGGGTGTACGACTGTGTGATGCCCTCCGCACGACAGAACTGTCCAAGCTGACCAGAGTCGAACTCGTCGCCACGGTCGGAGTGGAGACACAGCACAGGGAGACTGCGGTGGAGGCGCGCAGCTACGACCCACGGGATAAGAATGTCGGGCATTCCCTTGGAGCCGAAGGCATATGCATTCCACGTCTGCGGTGGAGGCGCGCAGCTACGACCCACGGGATAAGAACGCGTGGAGTAGCATGAAACTACTGCATCTAGGAAGTCTTTGGCGTTTGCTACAGCAGATAAACGGGGACGCTTAGATAGGGGAAGCGCATGACTAATGGCAAGCTGCGCTACAGCATTGCGAGAATCCCAGACAGCGCGAGCGAGCGCAGCAGGAGCAAAGGCCTCACTCTCAGCAATGGTGGGATCAGCAGGGAGGGGATCAGGCACGGAGGGGCGGGGAAGCAAGCCATCAATATGCATAGCCAGGGAGTGCCCATCCTGGCGCTGACTTTCAGGTGCCGGCGAAGATCGGCAAGCCAGTCGGCGAAGTCGATCGCGTGCCCCTCCGCGTCCAGACGTAGCATGGCGTCCGCCATCGCAAAACCTCAGCGGCGCAGCGGAACAGGGACACAGGTACTCAGTTGCACGGCGAGACATCGACGTGGCGGTGGGACTCTCCGGAACAGGGACCGGGCGCGCGAGGAGCCGGAGGGCGCGCAAGGGGGGGGGGGGCGAACAGGCGGTAGGGGCCGGCTAGGCAGTAGAGGAACCGGCGGCGGCGCGAGAAGGGGGTGGCGGCTGGGCGCGAGGGGCCGGCTAGGGCGCGAGGGGCCGGCGAGGGCGCTAGGGGCCGGATAGTGCTCGAGAGGCCGGCTGGGCGCGCGGGGCTGGCTGGGCGTGAGGAGCCGGATGAGCGCGAGGGGTCGGCTAGGGCGCAAAGGGCTGGCTAGGGCGCGAGGGGCCGGCTAGGCGTGAGGGGCTGTGCGAGGAGCCAGCTAGGGCGCGAGGGGCCGGCTACGGCGCGAGGGGCCGGTGACGGCGTGAGGGGCCGGCTAGGGCGCGAGGGGCCGCGGACGGCGAGAGGGGCCAGCTAGGGCACAAGGGGCTGGCTACGGCACGAGGAGCCAGCTAGGGCGCGAGGGGCCGGCTAGGGCGCGAGGGGCCGGCTAGGGCGCGAGGGGTGGCGGCTAGGAGCGAGGGGCCGGCGGCGGCGCGAAGGGCTGGCTAAGACGTGAGGGGCCAGCGACGACGCGAGAGGCTGGCGAGGCGCGAGGGGCCAGATAGGCGCGGAGGGGCCGGCTAGGCGCGAAGGGGCCAGTTGGGTGCGAAGGGGCCGGCTAGTCGCGAGGGGCCGGCGAGGCGCGGTAGGCTAGGGCGCGGGGCGGAAGCGGGTGGGGGGGGACCTAACCTACTAATGATACCATGTTAGAGTACTGTAATAAATTGAAACAAGGAAAATATAGGGTTGGAGTTGTACTCTCTAAAAACATACACCTATCTATCCTATAACTTCTACATACTAACATATGTATAAGTTGACACACTCGACACTATAGGCATAGATTTGATAGTCTCTTTGTTGATATGGTGTGGTATATAGCCATTTCTATGGTGCCATGTGGATGCACCAGGTTTAAAACCTATACATATGTAATAATTAGGGATCTGTTTCCTGTGCGTCTCCCTGATGCATGAAGTAGAAAGTTTTCATCAGACATGAATGGGACCGAACAAGCTAATCAATTATCAAGCGGATGCCGCCCCCTGCTTATACGGTATTTGGATGGTTGGTGCATCACGTGTGTCTCGTGGCTTGTGGCAAGGCGTTCCATTTCGAGATTCACGGGCGGCCTTGACACCGGATTCTCCTGCGTCACCCACACTACCTCTCACACACTCCACCACGCGCACACCTCACCTCGCGCCCACCGCCTCACATGTGATCGCGTTTCTCGGATGCCCGCCAAGGCAGCACAGCTTTGGCGGGGCAGCAGCCACGAGCCGTAGGTCCGCAGAAGCTGCCTGGGGGGAGGGGGGTTGTCGCATTGCCCGGGGGCAGGGTGCTAGTTGATTTTCCGCCTCGGGACGGTGCGGAGGGGCCTTTAGTATGTCGTCGGCGGCGCATCATCACTCCGCGCGCACTCCCCGCTCCCGCTGGCACGGCGGGGCGCACAAGGGGGGGTATGGAATCCGCGCGGCGCGCGTCATCCAGGCGTGCGCCTTCGCTATAGTCACGCTCTGGCTCTGCTATCACTGGTCGCACGCCCCCCGCCGCCAGCCCCCCCGCGACGACGCCGTGGCCGCGGCGAGCGCGGGGCGGCTGCAGGTTCGGGGGCTCGTGGTGGAGCGGCCCAAGCCCAAGGACGTGGGTCGGCGGAAGAGCCGCAGCGTGATCTCCCTGGAGGGGCCCGGCGACCGCGACCTGCTGCCGGGGGACGGCGCGCTGGCGGAGGGCGCGCAGGGCGGCGGGGGGCTGGCGGGGGGCGACATCGTGACGCGCATCGTGGCGAAGGCGGGGCGCGCGCAGGGGCAGGGCGTGAAGCTGAAGGACCTGGTGGAGGCGAAGGCGCAGGGCGGGGGGAACCTGCTGGGGGAGTTCGGGGGGGAGGCGGAGGAGGAGGGCGAGCGCAAGTGGGAGGACCAGGGGAGATGGAGGAGCGCGCGCTGGTGGACCTCAAGGGCGGGGGGCGCGAGGCGAAGGTGGTGCAGCGCGCCATGGAGGAGACGAGGGCCGTGGAGGGCGAGGCGAGGGGGAAGGCGGGGCGGAGGGGGAGCGCGAGGGCACTGCGCCATCCGCGCTTGAAGTGGCGGTCGACGTCGAGCTGGGGGCGGGGAGGGGAGGCGCGGAGGAGAAGGGGGGAGACGGGGGAAGGAACAGCAGGGGGAGCGGGAGGGGAGAGGCAGGGGGAAGGAGGGAGTGGGAGGTTGTTTAAAGCGGAGAGGAGAGGGGGAGCGGGTGCAGGGATGGAGGGGGAGGAGCAGGGGAGGGGTGATGAGGATGAGGATGATGGTGAGGAGAGGAGTGAGGGGGGTGGAGCAGGGGAGGCCGCGGAGGGGGGCAGCAGGGCGGAGCACAGCAGCGACGCCCGCGAGTGGCAGCAGCGCGTGGCCAGCAGCAGCACGGCGCACCCGGTGCTGCTGGCAGGCACGCCGTGCATGGCAGTGCGAGCCGACCCCGCGTCGGCGCGCATGCTGCTGGCGCTCAGAGGCGGCCGCGTGCACATGCCCGCGCACCCCCCTGGCCTCCTCACCTCAGTGCCGCCCCTGATGCTGCCGCTGCTGCCGCCCGTGCTGCAGGGCCGCGTGCTGACAGCGTTCCAGGCGGACTCGGGTGGTGCTGGCGGCGGGGCGAGGGGCGGGCAGGGCAGCACGCAGAGCATGGCGTGGCGGGGGCGAGTGCAAGTGGGTACAGGTGAGGGGGGGATGCTTTTGAGTCGACTCAAATGCAAGTGGGTACAGGTGAGGGGGGGATGAGTAGGGAGGAGAGGCGTGGCATGGTCTTCTGCTCAGTCATGAACATATATTGCGGATGCAACGTCCGGTACTTCAAAAACCTCTTCTTAAAGTCCTTAGCAGCTTGATTTTTAAAATCATTGAGACAAGAGGGAGTCGCCTACTTGTCAAGAAAAACGTTATTGAGATCACCAAGAGAATGGAAGGAGTCGGTCATGACAACGTCATGAATCTCGCGAACAGGATCTTGCATCGGCGCAGCCATGGTCGCAGGTTCAGTCGCAGGCCTGGTAGCAGGCTCAGGAAAAGAACGAACTGCAGGAGCGTCGACTGTCACTGGAAGAGCGTCGACTGTCACTGGAAGAGCGTCGACTGTCACTGGAAGAGCGTCGACTGTCACTGGAAGAGCGTCGACTGTCACTGGAAGAGCGTCGACTGTCACTGGAAGAGCGTCGACTGTCACTGGGAAGAGCGTCGACTGTCACTGGAAGAGCGTCGACTGTCACTGGAAGAGCGTCGACTGTCACTGGAAGAGCGTCGACTGTCACTGGAAGAGCGTCGCGTCAGGAGCGGACTGTCACTGGAAGAGCGTCGACTGTCACTGGAAAGGTGACTGTCACGAAGCGTCGACTGTCACTGGAAGAGCGTCGACTGTCACTGGAAAAGAGCGTCGACTGTCACTGGAAGAGCGTCGACTGTCACTGGAAGAGCGTCGACTGTCACTGAAGAGCGTCGACTGTCACTGGAAAGAGCGTCGACTGTCACTGGAAGAGCGTCGACTGTCACTGGAAGAGCGTCGACTGTCACTGGAAGAGCGTCGACTGTCACTGGAGCGTCACGCCAGCGTCGACTGTCACTGGAAGAGCGTCGACTGTCACTGGAAACTCACACTGGAAGAGCGTCGACTGTCACTGGAAGAGCGTCGACTGTCAACTGGAAGAGCGTCGACTGTCACTGGAAGAGCGTCGACTGTCACTGGAGAGCGTCGACTGTCACTGGAAGAGCGTCGACTGTCCACTGGAAGAGCGTCGACTGTCACTGGAAGAGCGTCGACTGTCACTGGAAGAGCGTCGACTGTCACTGGAAGAGCGTCGACTGTCACTGGAAGAGCGTCGACTGTCACTGGAAGAGCGTCGACTGTCACTGGAAGAGCGTCGACTGTCACTGGAAGAGCGTCGACTGTCACTGGAAGAGCGTCGACTGTCACTGGAAGAGCGTCGACTGTCACTGGAAGAGCGTCGACTGTCACTGGAAGAGCGTCGACTGTCACTGGAAGAGCGTCGACTGTCACTGGAAGAGCGTCGACTGTCACTGGAAGAGCGTCGACTGTCA